CCACTACCATCGGGTAAAGTTACAGTAGAAGAATGTTCTTGGATAGCGAGTTTAATGTGTCTCGGCGCTTTGGTTGGAAATTCATTCTTTGGAACCATTTCCAGTAAATTTGGCCGAAAAATTGGAATGCTTTCCCTTACGCTTCCGACTATTGTGAGTACAAAAAAAGGTGTTTGTGCATAAAAAAACGCCAAAACATGAAACTATTTAAATTTTGTAGATTGCTTGGACGCTTGTGATATTCGCTCAAAATGTGTACTACCTTTATGCTTCTCGAGCAATTAATGGATTCGTTGGTGGAGGTGTGTTCGTGATAATACCAGTTTACTTATCAGAAATTGCAAGTGATCGGTAAGCGAATTGTGTGATTTCCATTTCTTTCAGATAATAATTAAGTGACCATGATAAAACAATAATGCATATTCGTTATCGTTCATTTCACAGCGTAAGAGGAGCCCTGGGATCAATGTTGGTTTTAAGGGGCTAGTCTCACGATATGGAAACAACTATGGAAACATGAAATGTTTACAGAGGAATTTTGGATACTGATGTGACCACCCATTGGATATATAAAATCTACGGAAACATAACATGTTTCCATTCTATGTTTTACCAAATATTTCATGTGTTATCTATAGGTGGCGTTATCATTTAAATTCTCATTCTCATCCTCATCCTCATCCTCAACATTCAACCATCATTATTAAGAACGCGTCGTTCTTTTGTTAGCTTGTGATCGTCTGCAATATTCGCGATATTTATATCTTTTTTGTGTTTTGATAAAAAAAATGGAGAAAAATAATCAAAAAGATAAAAGAAAGGTTTCGAGAACATGGAATAGAGAGGAGATAAGGAAACTGATTGAACTTTACGAAATGAGAGTTGACCTTTGGAATCCTTCTTCTCAAAATTACATGAATCGGTGAGTTTCGAATGTTGAACATTATTTTTAATAAACTAAACTAAAACCATTCCGAAAAATTATAGAAATATTAAGCAAACACTGCTCTCAGAAATTGCAAATGAGCTGAACGTTAGTTCAAAAGACGTGTCCGCAAAATGGCATGCTTTAAGAACTCAGTTCAATAGAGAGTGCAACAAAGAACGAACACTCAAAAGCGGCTCTGGAGCTGATGAGGCTTACATCTCGAAATGGGAATATAAGTCTTCTTTGCGATTCTTAAACGTGAATACAATGTCAGGGGCAACCGTATCAACATTGGACTTGAATGAATTGTCATCCACTGGACCTATCGAAAAATTAGCTGAATTCGATATCAATGCTGCTATCGTTTTGAGTTCCGATTCGTCCGATACTAATGATAATCAATATGATGTACCGTCTTGCTCAAATAACAAACGGCGTATTGAACATTCGAGTAAGAGAAAAAAATCCAACTCACAGTCATCTGATGAAAATGTTTTAATGCAAAAAGCATTGGAAGTTATGAGCCATACAAACGACGAACTTGATGTCTTCGGTCAATTCATTGCCAGTGAAATGCGTCAAATTAGCGACTTATCAAAACGAAATTCCGTTAAGCGTGAAATTATGGCTATACTAATGAACAGTGGTAATGATATGCTGATAACAACAACTCAATTGCAGCCGTTTACGGTTTGCAACAATATAAGTCCTATCGATATAACAAATTCGGATGAAAACAAATTCCAATATTGTTTTGAATAAATAAAATTGCGCGATTGAGTTCGACCACGACCTTTCCCATTTAAAAAGATCCTAAATAAGTACGACATATACAAACCATTTCAACTTTTATTTTGTTTATATTGTTTTTCAAAACCGATGAGCCATTTGCAAGTGTGTTCAAAATGTATTTACATAGAATGATTGTTTACAGCCAAATAAAATTATTTATTCAACATTAAGAAGACTGTGAATAGCTTGTTTTGAGAAAATATTTATTTTCGTTGCTTATTTCGAATATTGAATCTTTCAAATCTGACATTTGTACATTACGACTTCGATTTATCCAATTTGACAGTTAGCTTGGTGTGCATGTTTGGTTGTATAAAACAGTTTGTTTCTGTAAGCGAAATGGATAAGGCTGAAGAAAATAGTTCTGGCAACTTGCTGCCATTGACCATTTACAAATGCACTGATAAAAGGTGTTCTTATTCAACTTTAAGGAAGGATCATTTAGATAGACATATCGATCAAACACACAATAAAAAACGCAAAATCTGTGAATGTGGAGCTCATATTTTGTCATCTGGATTAGCTCGACACAAAAGAACATCATGTCCATTGCTGAACAATCGTAGTTTAATTAGTTTGTGCATTGAAAAAGCCACCGAAAACTCACCGAATGAAACAAATGCATCATCTCATCAAATTACTGGAATGGAATTGAACAACTTTGTCGATACGCATGAAGAAAAAACTGCATGCTTAGTTTCAACAATAGGTTCTTGTGCTTCAAATCCGTTGGTGGTTCAATGTCCTGAGCCAAAGTGTAAATATTCGACATTAAGGATAGACCATTTGAATAGACACGTTGAACAAACGCACAAAAATAAACGAAAAATGTGTGAATGCGGTGCTCATATTCATTCCGCTGGTATGGCTCGTCATAAAAAAACATCATGCCGACTGCGTGCTTTGGTTGTTGAAAATGTCACTGATAACAGAAGGGATGAAGCAAAAGGACTAATAATCGCTGAAACTGAAACGAATAATAACACAGAGGAGGTCAAAGAGGAGACTGAAGAACAATTCGTAGCAATAAAAGATGTTCCTGTTGTAACAGATGAGCCACCTGAACAATACCCTCAAGCGACTGACTTCTCTATCACTCCATCGGAGTATATTTTGTATGATCCATCATTCATTGAATTTGAACATGAAGAGATAATTTATTAAAAAATGCATGAATGAAATCCTTTTGAATGAATAAAATAAATGTATTTATTTGGAATCGTCATCTTTGAATTTTTTTAACAAACATTTAGCGATAAAAATGATCAAAATGCAAATATTTATAAACCAATTCCAAACACATGTCACGATTACGCGCCAAAAATATATATAACGTTGAATATTGACGTTGAGGTTGGGGATGAGGAGTTTGTGAGAATTGACATTAGAACAATGTTGAGGATGAGGTGTTGAAAAGCGTATTCATTTTTAATTTGTGTATTTGATAGTGTGGAATAATTTATGAATTTAAATAAAATGAATAGCCGTGTGAATTTGAAAAGCATTTGCATCGTGTCTGGAACGACTAGCAAAAAGATAATCGATAAAAATATTCTGCGAAAATTGTGCAAAATTGATATATCAGTATCAGTTAAAAGAAAACTGACTGATGATGAAATAGTTTTGCATGCAAAACGAGCCAAGGTTAATCTGGAAAAAATGTCATCAAATTACATTCAAAATATGATTGTGGACGCGAGAAATGAAGTATTTTTTTTATTTGTTCACGCACAATTAAATATTTAATACTATGATATTTTATCTTTGCTAGAATCAATCGACACATAACACAATGAAATCAGAGAAAATTATACGATCCGAACCAAAAAATGTCTCAATTCGTTCAAAGTACATTCGAATGAATGCGAACAATGGGGTACTTATTATTACTTCACACCTTAAGATATGTTCGTTGCATTTTCTTTATTTTACATTGAACTTATTTCTTAGAAACAATCGAAAACGGAAGGAAAATTTAAGAATGAAACAACGCAAAAGGCTATATGTTGCACGGAATATGTTATTGGCGAAATCGTTTGGTGCAAGCTGAAAGGATATAAGCATTGGCCTGCATTAATCAAGAGCTTTGATGGGAATAAAATTAACATTTATTGGTTCAATGACTACCGGACATCAGCAGTATTTAAATCTCAGTTGAAAAAATTTCTTCCAAATTTAAATGTTTTCGGAAAAGATATGAATCTTCCACTTCAAAAAGCGGTGAAAGAGGCTTTACTGCTGTGTAAATCAATGAATGCAGAAGAAAAATAAATTTGTCTTGTATTAAAATAATTGGTTTTCGTTTGAAGTGTATTTTTATTTGACATTTTATAAGATTGGATGAGGTTGAAGGGTGAGGTTGAATTCATGTGTCATACATTTTCATCAAAAGAAATTCAGAATCAGATCAAACCACAGTTTTACAGAGTGACATGGCAATCTCGAAAAACACTGTTGCTTCCGCGGTTATCGTAGCCATTTTATTAACACAAAAAAGAAATAAAAGAAAAAAGAGAAAAATGTGGGTAAGAAATTGGATTCGTGCACGTGAAACTGAAAATTCCACTCATAAAATGATAGAACAGATGCGTAGCGAAGATGAAAATGCATTTAAAGGCATGTTTCGAATGAATGGCGTTCAATTCGATTTTCTATTGGAAAAAGTTCGTCCGTTGATTACAAAAAAGGATACAAATATGCGCAAATCAATTTCAGCAGAAACGAGATTAATGATAACACTAAAATATTTATCAAGTGGTGACTCATATAGAACATTGATGTACCTGTTTCGCGTTCCACATAACACCATTTCTGGAATAATTCCAAGCACTTGCAAAGCAATATTCTCATCACTTCGTGAAGAATATTTGAAGGTATGCTAACCAAAAATACTCTATTGTCCCAAAATACATTTTTTGTACATTACTTTCTGAAAAAGGTACCAAATACGTGTGAGGAGTGGAAGAAAATTGCCGATGATTTTCAAAGTAAATGGAACTTTCCGAACTGCCTGGGTGCACTAGATGGAAAACACATAGTTTTGCGTTGCCCGAAAAATTCTGGATCGCTGAATTTCAACTACAAACATAACTTCAGTATTGTTTTGATGGCATTGGTGGATGCCAATTATAAATTCACATACATAGACGTCGGTTGTAAAGGAAGAATTTCTGATGGTGGTGTTTTTAACAGGAGCTCTCTATATCATGCAATTGAAAACAATTTATTGAATATTCCGTCGCCATACTGTTTGCCCGGAACTACAATTGAAACACCTTATGTGATTGTGGCAGACGATGCGTTTGCGCTGAAAAGCTATATAATGAAACCGTTCAACTTTCGTAATCAAGATAAATCGCAACAAGTTTTTAATTATAGACTTTCTAGGGCCCGAAGAATGGTTGAAAGTGCTTTTGGTATCATGGCAGCCCGATTTAGATTGCTTAGAACTAACATCGAAATAAGTGAAAACAATGTAAAATTATGTGTTCTGGCCATATGCGTATTACATAATTTTTTGGTATCTGACGAAGACGAAATTTTATTATCTGATGCTTTGTTGAATTTTAATGAAACTTGTGAAAATGAATCGACAAATCCTATCAATTATTCAAACGAAGCGAAAGAAATTCGCGAATTATTCAAAAGCTATTTTGTCAGCCCAGCCGGAGAGGTATCTTGGCAATATGATATGATATAAATAAAAACAACATTTTTTTTCACAAATATGATCAGATAAGTTGGTGGCAATGCGACCATAATGGAAACATTAAATGCAAAGATTGTTTGAAAACTTGTTGTTTATACTGCATTAATAAACAAAATA